ATCGGAACTAACGCGTAATTAACATTAGTTTATAGGTACAAGAGGACACCTTTTCACCTCCTGCTGGGCCGAGGGGCGGTGTATCAGGTGGACGCAGTGGACACCAAGGCGGGTCCCGCTCCACCAACTAGACTCGAAATTGTGATTCATAACTGTCAGATGCCTGAATCTGGACATTGGGTCTGCGGTGAACTTAGTATACATATATATACATACACACATACACATATATATGTGTGTGTGTGTGTGTGTGTGTGTGTGTGTGTGTGTGTGTGTGTGTGTGTGCGTGTGCGTGTGTGTGTGCGTGCGTGTGTGTGTGTGTGTGTGTGTGTGTGTATAATTCCCAGTGTGTCTTCTGAAAGTACACTGTCCATCAGCATATCCATTCTGCTCCCCGGAAAAAGAACACTCACGTTTCAAACAGCACAACTTCGTCCACGGGGTGAGAGGAGCTCGTCAGCACGGGAAAAGCACAGATCACAAACGCCGTCACCCACATCACGCCCGTGTCAGATTCCTCTGTTAAAAGTAAAAAAAAAAATAAATAAAAAATAAAAATCTCTTTTAACTCGAACTGCAATACGTTCTTTAAATATCCTTTGGCACAGAAGAGAACACAATAAATTCCAGAAAAACTATTTTCTTCTCTCCTAAACATTCACCTTCGTCGGGAAACGAAAGTAATCCTCGTGTTGCAAAGGACCCTTGCCCAACGCCAGTCCAAGTGCAACTGGCAAAATCTCTCTTGTTGCACCTCTTTCCTCGCTTCCACCCTCGCCTAAGCTGTCCAGTACCTGCGCTCAATATATCTAATGACCGCCAAAGAACTATTGACCAAGGACTGAATATTCTAAGCCTGTGCAGATACGAAATCGTGTATCGTTTATTCATAATGTATTCCTCTCCGTTTCGAGCGCGTACAGATTTTTTGCTTTGGATGGCCGTCGATTTAGTTTACCTACGTATACCCGTGGACCATAGCCTTAATTGGATTTCATAGAACTATTCTTGTGATATGAAGCATTAGGAAATCATGAAACAAAATCTCTCTCGTGATAAATCGTAATTTAATTTCAGTGATGAAATCATGGGTAAAAAATTCTTGTTTTCCCATTATCGACATCATACTGACTCCCTGCTTCCAATAACAACAACAACAATAATAATAATGATAATAATGCTAATGCATATTTCGATATTTATGGATTCAGGGTCGTGCTAGGTCGACTGTGGTACATTACTCTTTTTGTTGTATCTGATTTGAACTCTATATAATGCTGTGACAAATGGCAATCTATTTGCAATAAAGTAATACTGGGATAGCGCAGGCTTGGAATGTTACCATATTGTATTTAATCATGTGATATAGAAATGCAATTTGTATGAAAAAGAAATTTAGAAAAGTAAATAAATGCTTATATATATCTTTCTCTCGAATGTGTGTGTTTATTATTATTATTATGATGATGATGACGATGATGATGATGATGATAATAATAATGATGATGATGATGATGACGTATTTATATCTATATATATGTTTGTGTGTGTGTCTCTATCTATCTATATATCTATATATATATGTATGTGTGTGTGTGTGTGTGTGTGTATGTATGTATGTATATATATAAACAATGAAATGTTTGTTTTTAACCCATTCGCGCCGGGTAAAAATGAACAAAAAATGGGGAAAAATGCTGTGTTCATTTGTTATACTTTTTGTGAAATTTCTGTACACTAGATGGCTCTGCCTTACCTGATTTCATTTGACGGGAAAATGTATTTTTTACTAGTGCTATGAATATCGATGGTTATTTTTATTATAAGCATTATAATTACTATAATGTTATGAACATTAGTAACAGCTAAATAAGATAACGTAAAATATTTTCGTAAATTAAAGAAAAGGGTAAACAGACGACACAGGCCGTACATGTACAAGTGTAGCCATCTATGTATAAAAACAATTAAACAAATAAACTCACAGTGTGCCCGTCACGTATACGTGACACCCGGCGCGAATGGGTTAAGCGACTATCAATAAACGCGAGACTAAGCAGCACTTTCTTTGTGCCACTCTAACACTTTTAATTATTCGTCCAAGGAAATATTTAATCTGTCGGATGTCAGGAGAATGCAAGCAGACCTTCTTGTCCCACGCCTAATGGCAGATGGATTTCAATGTGTTTCAATTAAAAAGGGTTGTGATGTACATACAGTAACTTCTATACCAAGGAAAGTTCTTATCTGATTAAATATTGTTCTTTATTTTAATCATTCATTTATTTATTCCTTTACTGTTTTTTTTAGCTCCTGGGAAAGTTCGCACTTCGATGTGAGGGTTTTATATTCCTTAGAATTTTATCACTTACCGAAGAGTCCAAAACTGGAAACGGTAAGATTATTTCCAATGTTGATGTTCATTTGTTTATAAAACCCATTCTATCTTGTTGTTTGTGGATTATATAGACTACACTGGTATAAATCCTAGGACGCGACT